TAAGGTCACATGCGCAGGTTCTGGGGTGGACACTATTCAATCCACTACAGTCTGCCCTCTGACCCCCAAAATCCACATCTAATCTCATATGCAAAATACATTTGCCCTATCTCAACATCTGCAAAAGTCTGAACCCGTAAATACATCAGCTCAGAAGGAATACACCAGCTCAGAAGTCCCAGATCTCATCATCGAAACTATCTTAATCAGGTATGGGTGAGATTCTGAGTATGATCCATTTGGGGGGTGCAAAATTCTTCTCCATCTGTGGGCCTGGAAACTACCAAGCAAGTTATCTCTGTATGTTTCCAAAATACAGTGGCGGCACAGGCATGGGATAGACATTTCCATTCCAAAAGAGGGAAATTGGAAGGGATACAGGGGTCATTGGTCCCAAGCAAGTTCTAAATCTAGCAAGACAAATTTCATTACGTTTCAAGGCCTGGTGATGAGGTTACCTTCCCCATATTATGAATGAGAAAACAAGGCTGAATAAGCCACCAGTGGTTACATAGCAATTAAATAAGCTCCAAGAGCCTCACTTTAGTCTCCAGGACATAGGGAAGTTTCTTCTTCTATTATCCCTAATTTAAAGATGAGGGAAACGAGGCTCAGAGATGTAGATCAAACTATGCAGAGTCACACAGCTAATAAGTGGCATTGCCGAGACTCAAACCCAGGCCAGTCTGTCTTCCAAAATGCCAATCCAGGGCCGACCCGTGGCTCACTTGGGAGAGCATGGTGCTGACAACACCAAGTCAAGGGTTCAGATCCCCTTACCCGTCATCTTTTAGGAAAAAAAAAGTCAATCCATGACCCACTCACGTAGCTGAGAAATGAGAAATTTACCTTGACCTGCCTCTTTTCCTGCACAGCCTCCAAGAAACAACGTAACGCCTCGGTTTCTCCTTCCAGAAAGTATTAATAGAAGCATCCCACTTACCTATTTCAGTCTGAAAATAAATTACCCCGTCTCTCTTCCACTTACTAAAAACATCATGGACTTTTGCAAGNCAGGCCAGTCTGTCTTCCAAAATGCCAATCCAGGGCCGACCCGTGGCTCACTTGGGAGAGCGTGGTGCTGACAACACCAAGTCAAGGGTTCAGATCTCCTTACACGTCATCTTTTAGGAAAAAAAAATGTCAATCCATGACCCACTCACGTAGCTGAGAAATGAGAAATTTACCTTGACCTGCCTCTTTCCCTGCACAGCCTCCAAGAAACAACGTAACGCCTCGGTTTCTCCTTCCAGAAAGTATTAATAGAAGCATCCCACTTACCTATTTAACTCTGAAAATAAATTACCCCGTCTCTCTTCCACTTACTAAAAACATCATGGACTTTTGCAAGTTAAAATACAAAAATAAAGAAGATGGTGCTGGCGACTTAGCCAGTGGGAGGCCCTCCAGGGAACACCAGCCTTTTTAAAATTTTTAAATGTTAGGCGGATTTGTGGGTTCCAGATTGGTCCTGGAGAACAAGGTCTGTGCTGTCCAGGGGCTGCAGTTCATGAGACTGCATCTAATGTCCTGGGCATTTAATGAACGGGAGCAACCAGAGAGCTCACTTTTGCTCACTTTTGGTTTCATAAGTCAGTGTATGATGACAATAGCCTGACGACACCATTTTCTAGTGTGTGACTCACATCTCTGGGCTTCAGCTTCCTCGTCTGTAAAATGGGAGCAGTGGCAATCCCAGCCTTCTAAGGCTGTTGGAGAAATGAGTTGGGATAGAACTGACAGTGAGCACCTATGAGCTGTGAGCTAAGCCTTCTGGAAGCTTGCAAGCTGCCTAGAGAGGCGCAGTGTCGGGGGGTTAGCAGCACGGGTACAGGCACCACACTGTCTGGGCTCCAAGCTGGCTCTGCCACCAACTGGCCGTGTGGCCTTGGGCAAGGCCCTTTCTGTCTCGGATCCTCCATTTCCTCATCTGTACAATGAGAATCATGATACTACGCACTTCCTACAGCAATTCTGAGGATTACATGAGCTGATATGTGTAAAATCTGGCACACCGTAAGTGTGTTCAGTGAGCGGGATCTATTTTGAAGAGAAGTGGAGGGCACGGGAGCAGAACGGGGGGCGGGGAGGGTGCCTTTAAGAAGAGCCAAAGCATTATCGAGGGAGAAGTTTGGGGCTGCGAACCCTCTGGAGAGAGGAGTCATTGAGATTATAAATAACAGATGTTCTGGTGTTTCTGGGAAACAGACTTGGCCAGGGCCCGGGCCCAGGCATTGGGAAAGGATGGAGTCCCCTTTTGTGAAGCTCCAGGGTCCCAGGGGGGGTGTCTAAGGGACTGAGCCCTCAGGGAGCTGGCTGGTGGCGTGGAGGACAGGGGGTCAGACCCTTCCAGAGCCGATTCAGCAGGGCCAGGCACAGCCAGGGTCAACCAAGGACAGACATGCAGCAGGGTTCTCTGCTCCAGAAGGCTCCAGACAGGCTCCAGACCCCTGTCACCCTCACCAGGGCCTTGAGTCCTGAGTGAGTCTCTGTCAATCTGGGGATGAAGGTGGAGATC